TATTCCCTTTTTTCCCTGTTTTGAGTAGATTAAATTAATTGAAAACATTAGTAATAATAGCAATTGATTAGTGAATCTAGATGATTAACTATGTAATTAACCTGTTGAGTCCATAGAGACATTGAATGTTCCAATTTAGAAGCAAATGAATCAGAATCCATAGGGTTTTGAACGGTTAGTATAACTCCTCCGAATTTATCCTCTTTATTTTTTTTCGCGCTCCAATTGTCCAAGCTTATTGCCACCATCTGAAGCAAAATGATGATAAACAAATGCTTTCTGTTTACTCCTCTCTCTCAAAAGCCCCATTCCCCACAAAAACCCTAACACTGATTGTGCCGCCGGGTAACCAGACTCTGCAGCCGTCTCAATCTCACCAGAGCCTTCTTCGATTAGCCTCGCGTCTCCTGTCATAAGCTTGGTCACGGCGGAGTAGTAGAGAGCCTCCGTATCGGATTGAGGTTGAGGTTGCGGTTGGGTGGAGGTTGGTTCGAAGATTTGGCGCCATGATCCAGGGTCGAGATCCTCTTCGGATTTGTGAGAGTCGGAGTCGCCGAACTCGTCCCACTCGGGGGAGGAATCGGGATCGGAAGGGGGTTCGTCTTTGAAGTCTTCTTGGGAGAGGACAAGGACGTAGGGGCGGGCGGTGACGGAGAGAGTGAGGAGAGAGAAACAAAGGAGAGAGATGAATAATTTGGCGGTGGGCATTGCTGTGTTGAAAAATCACAGTCACAGCAATTGAAATTCAGAAATAATATAGAAATTTGGAATGAGAAGAACAAGAATGAAGGATAGTGAATGTAAATGGATGAAATGTCGAGGATAGTCAAATAATAGCGTTTTATACAAAATTCTATCTTAAAGAAGTTTAATAATAGCGTTCTGGTACAAAGTGCTATCATAATTACATAGTCTGTATTATATAATAGCGCCCGATTAAAAAGTGCTATTATAAATGTGTTTTTTCCATTTTAATAGCATTTTTTTTAAAAGTGCTATTAAATTAGGTGATACAAAAAATCATTTTTGGCGTAGTGGTTGTTGTATTTTGCGTAGTTGTCTTGAATTTATCGTATTGTAAATTTTTCAGTCATTATCTAAAGGTTGTTGTAATCGAAGGTTAACTTGAACACAAAATGAAAAATCGAATTTAAATTGAACTTTCTTGCTTACAACAAATTAATTACTCCAGAAAATTTGCTATAAAAAAATTAGGTTGCGGAATTAGACCCAATATTTAGACAATTTTTTCGATTGTGTCCGGGAAGACGACATGTACAGCATAATCTTATCAATTTATTGATTGTATCTATTTCAGTTTTAATACGAGGGTTGTTTGGACGCCCATTTTTCTTCCTTCACATTTGTTTATTATGCCAAACAATGTCCCCTTGATAAACAAGCCAATAATCCTCCTTTGCCAACACGGAGAAGGTATTGATGTACACACTTAAAACGCTCTCGACTGTGTAAACGAAGAATATATGTCCTCTTGGGTCCAAGTGAACATGCGAACATGCCGCTATGACATGAGAGCAACGCATGCAAAATGCTTGAAATTTTCCGCAATCGCACCAACTTCTATCTAGTTTGACCTGATAGTATTTCATTGACCTCCCCTCATTATGATCCATTGAATCTTGTACACTGAAGCAACCTTTAATACGGTCAAAGGTGACACTATGGGTGTTAGCTTTGGCAGTCTCCTCGTTAAATAATTTCATTATGCATTCACTGAACAACTGTCCTGATTGTAACACTGCCCTTCATTTTGAACTTCTTGTATTGAACAATGACCCCAATCTAAAATATGTTGCTCTAACCAATGTAGTAGTTGGCAGGTTTCAGATGTCTTTCAAGATATCGTTCAATGATTCCACCAAATTTGTTGTCATGTGGCTCCATCGTTGACCATTGTCAAATATCCGGGTTCACTTCTCAATTGAAATATTATCGATCCACGTTTTTGAATGTACCAGGACCATCACATCAAGCACCTCATCATCAAGCGAGTCAGAACAAACCTCAAACACCTCAGAGAATTCAATATAGAGATGAGACAAGGGGTGAGACAAAGGCGGAGGCATTTATGTCATACAGAGACACGCTTAAGTTGTAGGAGGATGTTCGTAAAATATGTATCTATGTGTTGTGCAATTTTAAATATTAATATAAAATATTTTTATTTACTTTTATTATTATTTTAAAAAATAATAACAACAATTGTCAAGCCATTTAAAGTGGCACATCCACTTCAATTTACATCATGCGCTACACTACATCGTATTACATAGAAAAACAAGTCATGCAGTGTAGCGTCCCTTTTCTAATTTACATGCATGTGTCACAGAGTCACTTGACCTCTATGTGTCGATTTTTTTCATTTGAAAAATAATTATTTTAATATTTTTTTTTAAAAAGATAGTTATTTGAGTTTTTTTTTAAAAAGTGATTATTCAAAAAAAAAAAAATCTAATTTTTTGGTATAAGAAATTTAAAAAGAAAAAAAGGACATATTCTTTAAACTTTACCCAAAGGCATGCAAGTGTTCATTTTTATCCACATCCTTTTTTTTTTTAAATTAAAATATCTCACTTATCTACGTACTTTATTTTTTGAAATTAAAGTATCTCATTAAATCTACATACTTTAATTTTTGAAATTAAAGTATCTCATTAAATCTACATACTTTAATTTTTGAAATTAAAATAGGAGTGCCTTTTTTAAATGTTAAAAAAACCCACCAAATATAAGATTAGATAAAAACGATCGTGTCAATTTAAGATGAAATTTAAATAGCGTAAATGTCCCATTTTTTTTATAAAAAAAATTGAATATTGTGTGTTACCATAAAAACTAATCTCCCAAACATAACTATAATAAACGGTAAAACTCGTTCCCTTAAGAAAATTAAGGCTGTTGCGGGCACAAAATTGAGTTCTAATCCAGGATCTCTGGTTAAATTGAAAAAATCTCTTACCACCTCATTCAATTGCTATAGGTCAAGCTTAAGAGTTTGGATACAATTGTAAAATATTTATTAGTGCATTAATAAAAATTTGCCTCATGACCAATTTATAAAAAGTAGTCAACCAATAGAAGAAATGGTTAAAACATACCCTTGTCATCAAGCAACAGAATATTGTTATTATTATCTAAAATAAAAGTATAATGTATTTCAAAAACAGAGATCCAAATTTATTTTCCCGCAAAATTTAAAGCAGAATTTCGAATAAAGCAACAAACCTGAGCATAAAACATAATACTACACTCACTAAAACATAAGTAAAAGTTTTGTTTGATTCTTGAGCTTTAAGCTCTGTCTCGGCTTGTAAAGAGTGCAATATGCAGAAAATCCAGGAAGAATTCCCTCCATCTGCATGCAACAATGCCTACAATACATCAATCCTATCAATAACCTAACATCCAATTAGTAAAAATGGTTAACCAAGCATATATCAGGTAATGAAACACTTGTCAAATTCAAAGAAAATGAGGATATCAGCAATAATAAAGAAGAGATATAGATAAAGTTTAGCGATAGATTTCAAAATTCTAAATATAACAGAAAAATGAAAACAGGTAGTAGGTGTGATAAACAAGCCGTTAATGAAAGAGGGTAAAAGGAGAAAAAAACAGACAAGACAACTTTACATTTGAATTGATTACAGGGTTACATTTCTTTTTCTTTTTAGGTATAGCATGCATGTATTCCAAATCTTTTACTTCCTATTCTTCATTCCATCCCTTGTTATGATTATTAATAACTAAGCCTCGTGCATTATCTTTCCCTTAAGAAATGACTTGAACAGAGAGGGACCCAAGACTAATAATGATTTGACAGCAAATTTTGTTAAAATCATCACAAAAAAAAACATTAGGTCAAACCACAAGGAATTGTAATAATAACATAGGAACAAAATCAAACGTTTCAAACTCTTAAAATAAGTTCTACAGTTGTAACAGATCCATATGTTTTCTGCAACTGCAAGAAAACCTCATGATTATAAAATAAATTTGTAAACATAAAATACTGAAAGAAAAAAAAGTTTAAACCCCATTCACGATGGTTTTCTATTTTATATTTTGAAATTTTCGAAAAACAACTTTTATTTTGAACTTAAAAAATTTCAAGTTGTGAAAAAAAATTTAAAATAAAATATCAGTTTTAAAAATAGAAATGTATAATTAATTATATCTGAATCCAAACAATTGATGTCATTAAGTTGGCAAAGTAATTAAATATACATAGTATATTTAATTAGTAGTTTGAAAATAGTGAGAGTTGGCAGACACATCAGAGTGGGGATCACTAGTGGTTGGAGGTAGGGGTGGCAAAACGGGTCATGCCCGTCCCGTTGGGCATTGCCCATTTCGCCCGCACTTTTTCGCCGGGAGGATCAAGGTTTTAGGCCCACACGCTCGTCCTGTTTTTTGCGGGTGCGAGCATTAACATAAGTTTTTGCAATTTTTAGGCTAAAATGGTCCAGTGCCCGCAGACCATTGGTGGCGATGTCTTAGCGTTAAAACAGAAATCATAAAACTCACTTCTAGTTGAGTTTTGGTCAAAAACTGTTTTGAATAAAAACTAACCCATCCCCATTTTAGACGAACAGGTTTTGATTTTAAAATTAACTTTCAAAACAAAAAACCAAAAAGTCACAACCATTCTGAATAGAGGATTAAAATCCTCTAAATTGATTAATTGACTATAGTATAGGAAGAGGAGCGATAATCATTGTTTAAAAAATCAACGGGTGAAATTCAATAACTTTGTAGTAGTTTTTATACATGTGCATGCTTAGGGAAATGATGTCAAACTTAAATGTATGCAGAGATTTATAACAACAATAATAATAACCCAAAAGTTGGTGGGCAGACCAATGCAGAGTTGTATAAGTGGCAAAAAAAAATTGATGCAACGAGAATGAATTAAATACAAATTAATCAAAAACATTTAGATGGGTGAGGAAGACTTACAAAAGTGCCATCCTGAATGCTTAGTCCTCCATGGGAACTTCTCCATCTTGCGCTTTATCATCGACATTGATGTTGTCATCATCACTCTTCAATTTACCACAGACATTACATTCCATGACATTCGATAATGTATCACCCTTAGGTGGTAGAGGAGCTAAAGTTCCGCCGCAATTTGTTCTATCACACATGTATTTCAAAAAGAAATAAGCATGTGGGAAATCGTTGTTGTCGGTATCTGATGGTTCCATATTTTCATATTGCTCATCCTCCTCCTCATCATCCATAGCCATAACCTCTTGTTTATCCTCCTCTGCATTTTCTTCGATACTCTCATTATCCGACCAATTCGATTCGACATTACATCGATCACAATTACATGCAAAACCATAGTCTTCCAACAATCTCTTCTGCCTACTAGAATAGTTGTCATTAACAGGGAAATAACTCAAACAAATCTCTCTACCTTGAGGAACATCGTGAATCATCCTAATAACAAAATCTGTATTATTAAGACCATCGGCATGATAAGGTGGATTTACATCAACATAATCAAATCTACAGGCATTGGGAAGACAATCATGGTTGAAAAAGGACGCATAAGGGTAAATACCATAAGCTCTAACAGACCTATGCTCATCATTCTCAGAGAAAGGATGCATTATACCAAAAGCATTGAGCTTATCCTTAGCAAGAAGTGAAGAAGTGAGTTGCAAAGAAAACAATTCATTATCCGGATGTGAAAACAGCGATGAAATAATCGATGTAGGAACTGAGCTGCACCATCATTATCAAAAGAACCCTGAAGAGACAACAAAATCTGAAAATTCGAAGGGTTGTTAACAGCAAGATTGTAAGCAGCAACGAGAAAACGAGCTTGGAGTTGGCATTCGAGGGGTTGTTGAAGGAGAAGTGAATTGGATTGTAGTTTAGATAATGACTGACAAACAAAAGTAGAATGAGAGGAGTTCAGAGCTTTCGAGAGACAAGTTGAATCGCAAAAGCGGTATCCGTGACAAGAAGGGCATGAAACAAGTGAAGATGAGGAACAAGATTTGAAGCAATGGTCACAAAAAGAAGAAGAGTGTTGTTGAGAGAAAGGGGAAGTAGGGTAGAGAAGAATTGGAGAATCTGTGAGTATGATTTGGCCAGCTTTGAGAGGCTGAGATGCAACTATTCCTCTTCCTCTTCCTTGAATTTCTTCTACCTTCAAAACCGAACTTGGAACAGCCATTTTTTTTCAAAAGATGATTCTCAAAATCAAATGCAATTCTATCAAGTTTCTAAGGAATCAATCTGAATACTTGTAAAGGGATGAAAATGATGATTGAATAAATTAGGGTTTCAGATTGAATACACACAATACAGCATACTAACTACGCCGTTCTCTGTTCTGAGATAAAATTCACAACAGAATTAAAGAAGGAAAACCTGGACGGTTTTGTCGCTGTTTATGGTGGCCGGTGAGAAACTTCGGCTCGAGCTCCGGCAAGTTGGTTGATAACAGTGCGGCTCCGATTTGTTTCCGATACAAGACAACAAGGGCAAAGTTGCTGGAGGTGCTGAATTTTTGAGTTCTAGGGTTTTACATTTCTATAGACAAGTGTTTTAGGGTTTAACATAATTTAAAATAATAAAAAGTGATAAAAAAAACATAATTTAAAATAATAATGTTTCTCTTTATTTTAAAGAAAATTTAGGGCCAAAATTAATAATGTGTTATTTTCAATTTTAAAAAATGTGTTTATTTTTGTTTTTGGT